CCATGGATTTGAAAAAGATAAACACTGTAAATTGCAGAGAAAATGACAAGATTCATTTACAAAGCACATTGAGTCAGCACTCTTCATACAGGTACAGCTAATTCTAAGCCATAGTTTACACACTAACATTTTGTACACATATGTACATTCATAATTACAATCCGGTTTTTTAAATTAGTTTTTATTTTGTGATTTTCTTTGTTACTAGTGTTTATGCACTATGTTAAATCTTGTATTAAATGAAAAAATCAATTCTTTGGAAGCTATGAGGAATATTTTGTTTCAGAGAATTGAAGCCTTAGATAGTTTTATGTCACTTGAATTTGCTAGTCGTATGATCACCTTGGATGGGATTTCTTTAAACTCCATCGTTTCTCTTCATTACTAATAATAGAATATGCATTCATCACACAATGCATAATATTCTTGGTAACTCAAGCCCCTCATTTTAAACATCAATTTTCTTAACTTGAATTCATACTGCATTTTCTCAGAGCCATTTAAAGTACACAGGGTTTTATTTCATTTTATTTTAATGTAATGTTTCACGATTTATTCACTTATTTGAAATGCAGAATGATATTGAGAGAGAGCGTAAGAGAGAGAAAGAGATCAAATCTCCCATCTGCTGGTTTACTCCCAACAGGTTTCAATGGCTGAGACTGGGAAAGGATATATCTAGGAAAACAGAACTTCACCCAGGTGTCCCACATGGATGTCAGAGCTCCTCATACTTGAGCCATCTTCTCCTGTTTTCTCAGGTGAGCTAGCAGAAAACCAAAGTGGAAGGAGAATATTCAGCACCCCTAAAGGGTTGCCCTTACCACAAGCAGCATCTTGGCTCTCTGCACTACAGCATCAGCTCACAGAGATGCAGGATTTCAAAAGAAATAATCCCAGACATACATTTTTTTAAAGGATTGAAATTCTTACGTATCCTCTTTGTAGCATGGCTTATTTTTACTAGGAGAATCTCAATGGAAAACTATAGCTGTACATATTGAAAAAAAAATGCTTTGCAGAAGGAAGGAAAGAGATGGATAAGAATTAAAGAACTGAGCAGAAAACCTGAGGGGTTCTAGATTAGATAATAGACGCAATTATTGTTGATGATCTGGGTTGATGCTTCCCCCCAGCTTTTTTTTTTTCCTGTATAACTTTAACCGGAGACAATGTTTCTGTTCTCAGTCATAAATTAAATAGATAAGTAACATAAAGATCCAAGAGACTTAATGTATGAACCACTATGGATGTTTAAACGGCTTCTGATTTTTTCCGTGTTTATTTCAAACAGTAAAGGAAGATTTCTAAAGTCTAAACACAACAGTGGAGAAAAGGGAGGCTTAAGTTGAATCAAGGATTCGGAATGCGGTATTTTCCCAGGAATGTCTCTTCCTGTATCATGAAATAGAAACCAGACACAGGAATAGCAGTTAAGAGGCTTTCCAGGTGCGGATTTGCAGTGAAAGTGTTTTGCACCCTGAATGCTCCAGGGAATCATGAAAGATAAATATTAGTAAACTATATTGTAATAGGAAGTATTGGTTCTTCAGGATTCTGAAAATATTTTTTATGTTTAATCAAATATTTTTTGAGTTAATATGAGACTTAATATTCCCTGCTAATCCCAGTTCACTCAAGATTTTGGGAAACAGGTTGTGTTTGATGTGACCCATGGTTTCTCTCAAAGTCTTGGTAGCTAAATTCATAAATAATCACTACCAGAAGCCAGAACTATCATTGTCCATTTCACGCCCACCCCTGCGTGACACATGAGTCTATCACAAAACAAGGGAAACAGACCAAGCTAGGCTAGGAAGTAGAGTTGGACTTTTCCCAGAAATTTCTGATGATTTGCCAACTAATGTGTTTCTCCAATATGCTCCAAGGCAAAAGCAAATATGCACTCCTAGTCATCTCTAACAATAATATTCTTGAATTTACCACTGGAAAAGCAAAATTAAGCATACTGCTCCCATGCCCCTTACACCACATCCCTTATGGCACAATATTCTCACTTTTTAGTTTCTAATTTCTAACACTCTTAATAAAATAGTGAATTTTAAGATAGAATTCAAAGTGCAGTTAAAAATAAGTTAAAGAAAATATGAATGTCTGTTTCAGAAACACAACTGGCATTGCCAAGGAACAAAACATCAGCCCTGGCAAAACTCATTTCAAAATACAGAACCTTATATAATTCTAGTAAAGTTTTTCAGAAAACCTTTCAGAATTCCTACGGTTCTTTGCAAAAGGAGGAGTTTTCAGTAACAGGTTTAAGAATAAAAGTGTACTTGATGATATCATCATGAAATACAATCCCTTGCATATACGACAGAGTGGTAAATATTGGTTCAGTAGAATAATTAAGTCCCTTATTTTGTAAGGCAATTTAAAAACTGAAATTATTTGGATATCTAAGTTTTCTCTTTGTACATTTTTATAGAAATTTTCTTAATGATTGCTCTATGATTGGGGTGAATGTATGTTTGTCACGCAAGAATCTTGCCAACAATCACAAGATGCAGAACCCAATGTTTTCCTTAAGATTAACTCAAATAAAATCAAGTTAGGCATAGGGAAAGAAAGGTAAATTCATGAAAGGACTGAAGGGCTGTCAAGTTTTTTTTTTTTTAAATTTCTATTGAATTAACAAACTAATCATCATTTCCTGGATTTTTGAGCATCAGTTGTATGCTAGACAAACTGTTCAATACATTGTAACTTCAATATAGATATTATATCTATTTACAAAATAGTTGAAAGTTCTAGATATTAAAAGATGATATTTATTAGTAGAAAATGTAGCTTTAATACATAGAGCTCACAACAAGGACCACAACAAATTAAGCAAGAGATGTGAGTTTATCAAAAATATTTCATTTTACACCTAACAATTTTCTTTGAACATTGATATACTGAATAAGGCTAAATAACATCAGTGAGCAAAATCTAAGGATTGTCTACCGGAGATTTTGACACCTATTGGAGAATCCCCATCTCTTGTGTAGAAGTTACATACAACCCATTTCCTAAATAAAACAAAAGGTTAAAATGCTTGGTTACCAGTGTTTTCTTAATTACTCCAGTTTTTTCTAGGTATTGTAAATTTGAAATCACAATTTTTAAAAATACATAGACTATACTAGATTACAAGAGAACTACACAAATTGGACTATGTCACTAAATTAATTCTAAAAGTGACTGAAGAGCAGGGCTTTCTTTTTATCTGACCCAGTAAGACCTTATCTCTGCTTCCACATTGCAACTGCACCTCATGTATAACAGGAAAAGATGGTATAAAACTCCCTAGGTATCAGGAATTTAATGGCTTCATGTGCAACAGGAAGTTCAAAGAACTTGAACTCTTCTGTTTTTCAGCTATTAACCAATGCAAGCCAAGCCAAGGATTTAAGAATTTAGAATGTCAGTGTGTAATTTTCTCCACTTTAAGGTACAGTTTTCATATTAATATCCTCAGAAGAACTGATAAAAGTTAGTGGTACTTCATTTTCCCCTAATATTCATGCATCATTGAGAAGCAATCAACCAGAGACACTTAGGTAAAAGATGATTTTTCTGTCCTTTTTACCCATCATTGTCTCCATGCCTATCCTTTTGCCAAAGTTGCCTTTTGAATAAAGATACCTAGTTCTAGAGTCAGGAAATGCTTTTAAACAACTCAATGTGTACCCATACTTGCTAACTTGCTGTGGGAGCTGTTTCAAGATGCCAGACCCTAGAAATAACTCACCCATGGCCATACATCAGAGAAGGTATACATTTCATGAGTCTACTGTAAATTTCTATAAGCTTCATTTTCATTCTGCAAGTTTATGTGTGCTCAAAATAATAATGAAAGGCAGCAAACTTAAAGAAAATTCTCTTTCGAATATTTAGAGTTGGAGAATTACAACCTAAAATTTGTGTCTGCGCTTGCAGTCTTTCAAATCTATCCCAATTTCAACATACATTTCACAGATCTTACAGAACTTGGGAGTTGAACAGGATATAGAAACTCAGAATCATTTTTTCATATTCAAGAGTGTCTCCTAAATTCTGTTTCTGCTCCCATTCATCAGGTTTTGTTTTTTTAATACAGTGCAACACAAAACAAATATAAGCTATATCAAGGAGAAAAAATAATGGTGTTTTAGCAATTGTTTACACTGAGCAAAAATTATGATTTTATAATTTACATAAGATCATGTAATGAACAAAGGCATAATTTCATTATTAGTCCAGTGAAATGGATATTATGCTGTTTAATGAATGCTTCTGGGTAATGAGACTCTAGAAAACTCTGAATGCAGTTAAAACTGCTCTCTTACAAAAACCTTTCAAATAGTGAACAAGAATCAAAAAAGTCAGGATAACTTGAAAGAATTCTTGATTTAACTATGAATACTAAATGCAGAACATTTTTGTCATTGCATTCAGCAAAAACAACAACAGCAAAATGGAACAAGAAGCTGTAAAAGGTAACCAACAACAACAACATTAAACCCAGAATTAGGCATCAAGGGACATAGAAAAACACATTAGTTTTTCAAGGAGATAACACAGTCCTTTCAATTGGCACAAGGCAACTTCTGGAATTCTCCAAGAATTCATTCATCTTATATGATCGTTCGTGCGTGTCTCCATGAAGCTTACTAGACATATCAATCACAGATGGGACAAACATAGACCAGTTCTGTTTTGAAACCTCATAGCACTACCGGGTTACTTGAACAAACATTTTTGCTGCAATGTAGTGACACAGATATAGCAGAGACGGACACTAAATCAAGTCCCTAAATGAAGAATTGCACTTCTCTTAAGCACCTGAAGTGTCTCAGAAAATCACTCATTTAAGCAGAAGAGTAAAGAATCATTAACTTCAAATTTCCCACCTCTGTGTCGCATAAACCTGCAAAGGGTGCTCCTACACAACTGCAAGGGCATGCAGTGGGGGACGTGATGCTCACAGAAACGGGGGGAGCAGGATCCCAACTGACCTTTTTGCTGTTTAAAAGACTGAATCGAGCCTGAGTGGTGCACCATTTTCACTCTGTGAGTTCCCGCCCAGTAGAAGCAGTCCTAGAGGGAGGCAACGGAACAGTGGCCAGACTCTTCCAAAGCTCTAAGGAATCCCGGAGTCTTCCAGCGCCCTGCAACCGATGCCTGCTTCAGCCGGCACTTAGCTCCAAAGGCTGTGCGCCCGCCGATGGGGTTGTTATGGCAACGAGCGAGGGCGGTCCATCGTCCGGCTCCCCTTAGTGGCTACTGTGGGAATAATCGAATCCTTGGCGCGTCCAGTGCCGCAGTGAGAGTGGGTGGTGTGCGGGGTTTGGCGGACGAAGAACAGCAGGTTTATCTTAAGAACCTTAAATAAATTCGAGCATAACTCAGATACTAAAGATCTCTATTTCAGGTTTTTAGGATGGGTGTTACACGCAAGGCACCAACACTGATTTCCTAAAAGTTCTTCTGCAAATGCCAGCGCGTTTAAGAAATAGCAAAAAGTTACTCTGATTTGAAAGGATTTCGATGGCACAAGCAGAGAGATTATCGTCTTTCATTTTCAAACTTAAATATGAGGCGGAGGGTAAGGGTGGCACTTCAGCTTGTCCATTAGTTAGATTTTATTAAATAAATTCAATCTCTTGAACTCGGCTATTTGAATTATGTTCTTCTTCATCTATTCAAACCTGTATCTTGTATAGCAGTGAGTGACATTTTATTATCTTCCAGGGAACCTGTGCCCATGCTCTATGATGTTCAATTACATCCTCCTAAAAGCCTTGTAAAGTAGTACCAATGTTATTATTGTTGTAACATCAAACAAGCATAAACAACAAAGAATTCTCAGGATTGCTTAAACCAGCATCTAACCTGGGAGATGTGCCACCTGATAGCAGAGACATCCGAAAGCATCCCTACGGCAGCCCTGCAGTCTCCTTACTTTCTTTCTCTTCCTGCCATGCCTGCCTGATCTGAACCTCCGTGTTTCTTCTGAAAGATAGAATGTACCAGAACAGATGCAAAGTGATAGAGCCTCCTCCCACTTTCTGAGTTGTGAAGGCTTGTGGTACCAGATAAAGGATCCAAATAAAAGTGGACAAAAATGAGAAGATGAAGAAATGTCAAGGTATTCAAAAACTTAAGCACATGGAGCTCTTTGGGACGCTTCTAGTTATTGCCTGTCGTTGGGTTGCATAAGGCCGTATGAGAAACACAGCTTTGAACAAGGGGATGTTTCAAGTATTTAACAACATGTAGGAAAAAGCATGGCACTAGAATCTTAAAAATGCTATTTATGATTATCCTGATTGTTTATAGGCAAGCTAGGCTCAACAAGGCAGTTAATAACTATATTGATTATTTGGTAATTGGGCCTGAAGTCAATGAAATATGGCAGGAATTGGGTTTCACCTCAGTGACCAAAATAACAAAGACTAGTCCATTCTTTAATGGACCACCCTGGTGTTTCAGTAAGAAAATACTGAGTATTCAGTGAGAGCTCATTGTGCAGGTACCTCGGAAATAACTAGTTACAGACCGTGAGCTTAGTACAAATTGACCTCGAAATGAAGATCTGGAACAGACATTAGAGACTGCATCCATATGGATCAATACACAGAGGTTTTCGGGACAAGTCTTGTGCAATGTTAACTGCTTGAGGATGCTTGTTTACTACATTTTATTCACTTTCTGGTAAAATTTTCAAAAAGTCCAACTTACTAATTATTCTCCCTTTTCTGGACTCACTGAATTATATTTCAACCCATTACTCACAGGTGAGGGTTAAAGAAAAGAATGTAGAAGGACTAGTTCACAGCAGGAAATTAATATCCAGTAGATACTAGATGCGCCATAAATATAGTCTCTGGAATATAAGCCTTTTAAAAGTCTTTTAGATGACCCCTATTCAAGTAAAAAATGTCTTTGAAATGTGATCATGTCTATAATCGTCAGAAGGACCAACTGAAAATCAAAATTTTCAGCTCCACTCTTCCAGGCTTAAGTAAAATGTTCAACTTCCCAGAACCTCTTCTTTCTGTTGGTTTTACCAGCTTATCCTCTCAAACTCGAACTCAGTTTGATGCAAGGATATATCCATTAGAAGTGGAGATGAGCCAAAACTTTATAGACATTATTACAAATTATTAATTATGGCCCAAAACACAAGATGTTTAGTGTTATCTCCAGTATCTTTGCAGCCTAACCTTTCCAAGGCATCTGATTAATCTATCTTAAGTTAATTCTTTTTGTAAAATTAGAAGCAATTTAGGATTGGCCTGCCAGATTGACTAGCAGGGGATTCAAAGAACATCTTTGCTTGTTTTAAAATCAGTCTTTTACAGAGGGTTGCTAGAGGAACAGCTTTGTAAGGGACCTAGGAAGTTTCAAGCACCATCTGTTTTAGAGGAAAGACTTGTGTCTCGTGTGTGTGTGTGTGCGTGCATGTATGTGTGCATTGAAATTAGGAACTCCAGAAAAAAGGCTTAGTGAACGCCTCCGGGGAGAATAGAGAACTTGGAAACAATACTTTTTTTTCTTTTTTTTTTTTTTATGTGCTACATGGGGGAACCGCGCTAAAACAATATCTTTTAAAAGTTTTGTGTCTCCATTTGAGAAATTTACAAATGAATATCAAGTAGCTTTATTAGAAAAGGTTATTTTGTGTCATTTTTAATACTGTTTTTGATTTCAAATATCTCTGAAAAATTTAACAGTGTAAGAAACAAATGTAAAATTTTCACAAAGGGGGCCCCTTGCGATAGCGTAATGGTTAAGGTCCTCGCCTTGAACATGCCAGGATCCGATAAGGGCGGCCATTCTAATCCCAGAGGCTCCACTTCCCATCCAGATCCCTGTTTGTGGCCTGGGAAAGCAGTTGAGGATGGTCCGGTCCAAAGCCTTGGGACCCTGAACCCGCATGGAAGACCCAGAAAGAAGTTTCTGGCTCCTGGCTTCGGATAGGTACAGCACCGGCCGCTGTGGCCACTTGGGGAGTGAATCATTGGACGGAAGATCTTCCTCTCTGTCTCTCCTCCTCTCTGTACATCTGCCTTTCCAATAAAAATAAATAAATAAATCTTTAAAAAATTTTTTTTCAGAAAAGGGACATGTAAATAGAATATACCGTGTGGTATTGACTCTGTTTGGCAAAAGATAAAAAAATAATTGGAAAGAAACATGCCAAAATATCTAGAGTAAATTCTGTTGCCAATTGAAATTAGGGCTGATTTTTGAACTTTCACCATTTTCATACTTTCCACAAATACATGAGTTTTGGTTTTATATGCATTATGCACATCTAAGATATTGAAAAAGCTCATGGGACATGAACAAAAGGGTAGATTCATTTTTTTTAGAAATGTATTTGAAATAAGCAGATTTTTGTGGAGCAAACATTTATGTCTTAGAACTTAAAACACAAAATGCAAGTGGAAAGAAAGCTCAATTCTTTTCTAGTTGAATTAATGACCTTTGCATGAGAAGGCAAGAATCATCACGTAATGAATAGCAAAATGATAAGGAAAAATGACAGGAAAAATACTAAAAATCCTGAAAGATAGAACAAGCAAACGTACTGTAAAAGTAACAAGAATACTATAAGAAAGAAGGATGAATTATAAAAAGAGCAACAAATGACAGAGAAGATATTTCTCAAGAATTAAATATATGATGGCTAGTCAGTACACCACACATATTTTGATAGATCTTATTAAAATGTTTGTCCTTTAGGGGAATTTACATAATGTGTGAAAACATAGATGTAATTTATAAAAACACATAACATGGTATTTTATGCAGCAAAGTATTCCATACTCAATAAAAGCATTAGATATTTAGAAAACTAATAATGTAGCAAAGCTAATGAAAGACCATAAAGACTAAAATATTTAAAAGAGGTAGAATTAGTAAATAAAGCAGCAGAAATCTAGATTACTTTTATAATTAATGAACTTAATTTAGCATTTGGAAGCATGCATAAAATTGCTCTATCTTGTAGACATTCATGAAATTTGACTACTTGCTTTGTCACATCCATTTGTTGTTTTTGCTGTTGACTTTGTGAGGCTACCACTATGTTTTACAGAATCCCCTTCTTTTTGTGATGCCAGGTTGAAGATAATCAGAAATCTGGCAAAACTTGGAAAGCAGAATAGAAGAGGTCACCACATTCTGAATGTCACTGAATTGAAAAGTAATGAGGAAATAGCAGAGTGGTAGATGAAAGATGCTAACCTATCTCTATTCTTCTTATACCCCCACTCGAGCTGTTTTTGTACAGGAATTGCAACCCTCCAGTAGGCACAGATGCCAAAGCCTTCCCAAACTCATTCTCTCAGGCCACATTAGGTTCATTCAAATTCCTCTTCTAAGCTGTCAGCCGCACTAAAGTTTCCCAAAGGTTTTAGGATAAAAGTTTGTTTATTCTTTCCTGACTCTTAAACTTTTTTTGGATGTTCTAATTCATATAGTAACTATCTTTTTTCCAGAATAGTTTAAACATTGCTCCTTTTACGCTCCTGATTATATTAATAGATAAAATTAACAGTTTTTGAAAAGAAGGAATAGAGAGTGGAAATCAGGGTAACTAAAACTCTGGACAATCTACACAGCACAAGCCCATGTCCTAGTCCAGAAAAACAGATAATTTTATATGGGAGAAAGCATTTACTTCGGTAGTCATAGAGATAAAACTAAAGATTGCAAGGTAATATTTTAAAACTCACCTTACTGTTAATAATGTAAAGAAGTCACAATATCTGTTTTTGTAAATGTTAAAAGAGCATTCTCTCAAACAATGGTTTGAAACTCTGAAGACTTACAGCCTATGTTAACCAACAATTCATCTCCTAAAGATCTATACAAGCAGCCATAAATAGTGATCCATATATCAAGGTGCTTGTTGTATCATTGATCAATGAGGAAAGGAATGTTCTAGAAGAAAGTAACTTTTTATTTTTTTACCACAAAGACTATTCAGTTGTTTGAGTACAGAGACAAACAACAAACAGATAGGCTAAAAGCCTGGATGGAAAGCAGAGGGAGGGAAAGGAACCCAAAATCTGGGGAGAAAGATAAATGAGCATTCTGTATCCAAAAGTAGGTACATTGCCACTTGTATGAATTTATGTAAAGTTGTGCATATATATATGGGTAAAATAAAATTAAGCATTAAATAATTTTC